CAATCTGTCTCAGCCTGTTCCGTGCCAGTTTGGACCGGTATAGTCCTCCGGAAGTCCAGGCACTCTGGCTGCTGTGCTCTCACTACCTGGTAGTACGATCCGCGCAAACGTAGCACCTGAGATGTACCCGATCTAGCTTTGCAGATTAATTCGCAGGTCTGGTCTGCAATGGGGACGGTCATTATTCCTGTTTGGTTGTACCGAGCTGCAAGCGGTGATACTGTACTCAGATCTTCAACATTCAGACGTCTGGGAATAGAATATTATTAACCTCCAGATGGGATCTTTTCATCGGCGATGTTCCGTGAAGGGGCCAAGACGCGGGTGCGGGATTGAACTTAAGAAACTCCTTCCGAAAACGAAAGCCGATTTCGAAAGTAATCTGGATTTTATAGCCAGACAGTGCATGCTCTTCTTTGCTGCACAATTTCAACTGGAAGGTGATTTCTGTTTGCGTTGTGGCGATGCTTTTAATTCTTGTAAGAAATCTCATCAAAATCAATATTTTAAGGTAACGTCGACTTTTCACCTGTGCAATTGTGTAAAATCATGTTATCAACACTATTGTTACATATTTTGACGATTGTTTGAACACAACAGGTAATTTATAGATTCTTAAAAATCAGAAACGCTCTATGCGTTTCTATTTTGGGATAGTATAGTCCCAAAACACCAGGTGTGTAATACTTTTTATGTACGTCAGTATAGTTATGTATAGTTTCAGGTCTTCTCAATCAACAATGTCTGACACACCAGCCCCGCAGTGCTAGGTCACCTCTGTCATTCTGGTACATTAGTTAACTGGCACCATGGTCCAACAGCAGAGCCACCAACCGACGGTAAAACCTCTGTGTTGAAAGACGCTGATTGAAAAGGCCGCAATCTGTCTTTCTTCCGGTGACTTGAAGTCCAAAACAGAGACGTCCAGATCTTGGTTTAGCACTGCAGTATTTCTGGCAACCGAACACAACAGATGTAGCGGAGTGTTGCCTGCGATGTCCCTGCTCACAAAACATCAGCGCCGTGTCCAATCAGTGAGACACATATCCCAACATCGGGCACTTGACCAAAGCACAACACAACCTGATGGGACAAAGCAGTGTGTAAAGGGTCCAGCCTTGGACATTTTCAAATTTACATCAGCTCCTCTTCCCAAAAGGGCATCAACAATTTCTTTGAATCCCCTCGCTGCTGCATGATGCAAAGATGTGTCCCCCTCGTGGTTTTGTCTGTTCACTTCAGCCTGCGCATTCAGCAGGAGGTCAACACAGTCCAAAGACATTCCCCAATCTCCAGTCTCAAACGTCCTGTTGCCTTTCACATAAGCCCTTTGGTTGTATACCCGGTCGCCAAACCGACGATCTTTCTCTGTTAGTATATCGAGACACCATTTCGAACCCCTTCCCGAAGCTATGTGAAGTGGTGTATCACCATTTTTATTTTGTATATTCACATCACATCCACTCTTCAGCAAGACTCCCAAGGATTTCTTGGATACACCCCTAGCTTCAAAAAGACATACATTTACGCAAGTATAATCCTTCGCCAATTCTTCTGCAAGTTCTCCTTTCCTCTGTTCCACATTGCTGCCAGTTCCATCTTGAAATAGCAAATCAGCACCGTCATCGTCTCCAGATCCAAGGCCAGCTGCTGTATAAACTTGACTTCTGCTTAAAGTGTGCGGGACATCGTGGTAAGACGCCTCGACAGCCTGATACCGGGCTCCTACTATCAATGTTATATGGAGCAATGTGTCGCCGTTACTATTCTGCACATTCACTTCAGCTCCGGCTTCAATGAACTTTTCGACAGTGTAAGTGGACCCACGGGCTGCTGCTGTCAACATAGGTGTCTCACTCTTTGTTGTTGCGCAGATTTATATCTGCTCCGACCTTTAACAATTTATCCACATTTTTTCCAGCAGTTACGGAGAAACATTCTGTGTGAAGTGGCGTATTTCCTTCATCATCCTGTGCATTCACATCAGCACCAATATTTATCACTGGATCAAGTGTCGGTCGAAAAAACAGAAGCAGGAATGCTGAATGAAGAAGCGTACGCCCCTCTGTTATCTCGTGCGTTAACAGAAAGCCCAGCTTTAACTAACGCATAGAGGCACTCTTCACTGCCACCGCGAATAACTCCGTAAATAGACGTCTCCCCTGTATTATTGCACAGGTTAACATCCGCTCCATATTTCAGCAAAAGTTCTAGACAGCTTTTCGTCTTGTTTCGTGCAGCTCTGTGAAGTGCTGTGTACCCTTCGTCATCCTGTGCATTCACATCAGCTCCTGCCTCTATCAACATGCTAATGTATTTTGTTTCTCCATAACTCACAGCAAATTGCAGAGGTGTTTCACCTGTGTCATCCTTTGTGTTTACATTTGCTCCGGCTTTCAATAAACTGTTGACACATAACTCTTTATGACCACCCTTTACCTGCAAAATGAAGTGGTGTCCAACCAGAAGTATTACCTGCCCTGATGTCAGCTCCAGCCTTTATGAAAATTTCAATATATTCATGCGCCCCTCTGAGAGCTGCGATATGTAAAGGTGTGTTACCTTTTCGTCCTGTTTGTCCACATCAGCCCCTGCCCTCAACAACATCTCAATGTAAACTTTAGACCTCCAAAATGTTGCTATATGCAGAGGCGTGTCCTTCTCAACATCCTGTATGTTCACATCGGATCCTACATCCAGTAGCAGTGTGACGCAGTCTTCATATCCCAGCCTAACTGCTCTGTGAACCGCTGTACAGCCGTTGGTTTTGCATATGTTTGCATCAGCTCCAGCCTTCAGGAGCCTGGCTACCACACATTCATGAGCCCCAAGCTCTGCTGCAATATAGAGTGGTGTTTCACCTGTATTGTCCTGGGCATTCACGTCAGCACCGGCCTTCAGTAAGACATCCACACAGTCATGAGATCCAGTATCTATGGCTATATGGAGTGGCGTATTGCCTGCTTCGTTCCGTACATTGACCTCGGTAGTCTTCATCAAAATGTCAACACATTGACTAGATCCACATCTGACTGATCTGTGGAGAGGTTTCTCGCCTGCCTGGTTAGTTATACTACAATCAGCTCCTGACTTCACAAGGGGCATCAACGCATTCTTCAAATCCTGATTCTGCAGCAAGGTGGAGGGTGTTGCCCTCTTTATTCTGCAGATTCACAACAGCCCCGGCCTCAATGAGCACATCCACACACGGCCTTGATCCCTTCCATGCTGCTCTGTGTAGGGGCGTTTCAGATATATTGTTTGTTACATTCACACCACTCACAGGTTTGTCATCACATCTTTCCGTCCAGTGTCTCCACTTGAAGTGTGTGTACAGTTATCCCCAATTTGACAGACTGCACCAGTTCGGTCAATCAGGAACTCTAACAATTCAGGCCTTCCCCGCCAGCTGCAGAATGGAAAGGCGTGTCACCATTAGACGAAACCATGGCCATGTTTGCTCCTTTCTGAAATAGAAACTTCACAGTTTCTTTATCCCCAGCTTTACAGGCTGAGTGAAAGGGCTGTCGCCACCCAGAGACAACGTGTTGACTGGAAGCGCCCTTTTCAAACAGGATCTGTACTAGAGACAGTTTTTCCACTTTGACATGCACTGCACACGACATCCCCAGACACACGAGCTCCCTTGTCTTGCAGCTTAGCGTTATCAACTCCTCTTTGCCACTTCTGCATGCCAGGTACAGCGGAGATTCCCCAAATGTGTCTGTGACATTGACATCTACCTCTCCATCAGTAACAACTGCAGCAGCTGCTGTATGGCCGTATTCACACAAGTAATGCAAGACAGTCTTCCCCCAGCGGTCAGACGTAAATAGGTCAGGTCCATAGGAAAGAATCTGCATAACAAAGTCAGTGTCCTTTGTTTCCGCGGCAATCATTAAGGGTGTTTTTCTGACAGTTCCATATGTAGTGTTTATGTCTATTGCCTTATGTTCAGTCAGATATGTCAAGACATTTCCAGCAGAATGCTTGCAGACACCAAACATAAGTTCACTTGTTTGTTCTCGGCTGAGAGCAACGTTGCCTTCCTCCATGAGATAACGAAGCATGTTTGAGGACTTGCTGCTGGGAAGTAATTCCAGGAAAGAATCCCCTGATATCTGATCAGTGTATGTGATGAGATCATTCAGAGATATTGGATGATCCCTTGTCAGAGTGTCCATGAAAGTTTGAATAAACTCAGCATCTCCACACACTCTGTGAGACAGCACTAGCACCAAGTTCCTGTTCAAGATCTCAAAAGCAAATCTCTTGGCCAAATCAGAAACGTACAGTCTGGGAATATGTGCCACTAACCCCGTCTCGCCATCAGTACTGCCTGTTTGGGCAGTTTCAAAGCGCAGTCTTTGGTGGATGAATGCTATACTGCAGTTGGTGATAACAAATCGTGTATGTTTTCTACTGAGAATAAAAGCAACACTATCATAGACGGAAGGGTGGTCGAACGTGTACGTGTCCTCCTCTCTTTTGAGATACGACCCAAGCAGATCATTTGCAGTTGTTAAACACTCATAGCCAAGGTCCTCATCAGCATCTAACTCATTTTCTGACACTTTCCCATCACCTTTGATCATCATCATGAACACCTTACGCTTTATGCTATCGTTAATCAGCTTGTTCATTGTCTGGTTCAGGAAATCGAGAGGTTTGCTGAAGAATTCCTTCATTGAAATCTGACTGTCGTTGCTGTATGCTCTGAGAAACATTCTACAAACATGAGGGAATCCGTGCGGACAGTCGATATAACAACACTGTTCTACTGTTTCCTTATCAAAATGTAACCCTTGAGCCAATGCATTCCAAATTTGTTTCTTTTCTTCCACTTTTCTCTCCAATGATACCTCGATCACGTAGCTGCTGCTGGTGATGAATGTTGCGAGTCTTCCTAAGTCTGGTACAGAAGATTGCAGAACATAATCACGCCCAACAAGAATTATTGTCAGCTTCCTAGATTGCTCTTCATCCTTGTGTTCCTTGTAGTGTTCCACGGGATCCAGAATTGGACGCAGCACCGGCCTCCACCTGGACCATTCCACAACGCTGAATTCCAAGTCTCCCAATATGTCGTCCAGCATTACAAGGGGACTGGAGCAGGTCATAGTGACCTCAGCAAACTCTGTTGGTGACTCCACCTGGTAGACTTGTCTCCCTTTGATGTACTGATCTTTGAGAGCCATGTAAGCCATTGTGGACTTTCCTTCTCCAGGGCTTCCCTTTATGGTTATCCAACTGGCACCTTTATCGAGTTTATCCGTCACCTTCTTGAGAGCCTCCGTTTTCACCATATCTTCTGTCCAAGTCTGAATCCTTGTTTCGGTTCTTTCTGCAACATAAGGGGCGGTGGGGTAGCCTAGTGGTTAAAGCGTTCAGGTGTCACGCCGAAGATCCGGGTTCAATTCCCCACATGGGTACAACGTGTGAAGCCCATGGAATATTACTAAAAGCGGCGTAAAACTAAACTCACTCAAATCTGAAATATATAGTGTAATTATATTACACGTCTGGGTTTCAACAAAAAACATAACCAAATCGGATAGCTGGTGGAGCCTTCTGGTCAAAGTGTTCGTTCGTCACGCCAAAGACCCGGGTTCGATTTCCCATATGGGTAGAATGAATGAAACCCACATATGGTGTCTGATATTGTTGGAATATTACTAAAAGCGGCGTAAAACCATACTCAGTCACCCAGACATCGATACATTTAAGATGTTTAAATATTGAACAAAATAAGTTAGGTGTCACCAATACTTTTTTAAATAGTTACTTATTTAAGTACAGATATGATATGAAAATACTGAACAAAATAAACTCTGTCAAAAAAGAAACGCAACCCCTGTATTTTAGAGATGTTGATCTGAAGTTTTAAGACGACACAGCATTTTTATTATTTAAGACAGAAGTCTGAAATTTGGCAGAATAATAACCAAGATGGGCATGTTTAAAATTGTCATTTCAAAAGTCATCTCACAGACACCAGTTTGTCACCAGGGGGGCGTCTTTCTCAGTATCTCGTATGAGCACCACGAGCTGCAATCACTGCACGGCATCTCCTTGGACAAGAACGGATAAGACGCCGGATTCTGTCCTGGGGAATGGCTCTCCACTCCTCCTGCAGTGCAACGCCGAGCTGTTGCAGCGTCTGTGGCGGCGGCTGACGTTGACGTACGCGTCGACCCAGAGTATCCCACACGTGTTCAATAGGGTTGAGGTCTGGTGATTTAGAGGGCTATGGCAAGACATTGACGTTGGAATTCTGCAGAAAGTTCATTGTTGCACGTGCAGTATGAGGCCGGGCGTTGTCTGGTTGAAAAATCTGTGTCTGTTGGTCAATAATCGGGAGAAGGTGAGGCTGTAATACGTGGTTGATGTAACGTTGGGCTTTCAGGTTCCCTTCAACGATCACCAAGTCTGATTTCTGGTTGTATGAGATGGATCCCCAAACCATAACGCTTTCTCCGCCAAATCTGTCCCCCTGTCGGACGCAGATGGGCGCAAAACGTTCATGACGTCTCCTATACACACGTTTTCTTCCGTCGTGATGTTGCAAAAGAAAACGGGATTCATCAGAAAACCAGATGCGCCTCCAGTTTTTGTAAAGTCCATATCCTTACGTTGTTGCACCACCTGAGTCGTCGGCGGAGATGTAGGGGGCGTAGTACAGGTCCAACAACTGGTCTACAGGCACGTAAACCCGCTTCTTTCAGACGGTTCCTAATCGTTTGAGCTGACACTCTCCTCAAACCTGGTATTTGTGTGGCAGTCACGGTTGGTAGGGCATGCCGATTACGCAGGTGATGGACCCGGATGTACCGATCTTGAAGGGGTCGTGATTCTTGGCCTTCCACTTCTCGGGCGATCGTTGGTCAAATTGAAGTTGTTGTAGCGGCTCCAAAGTCGGGATATCGTTGTTTTGTGAACATTTAGGTGCCGTGCAACAGTTCCAAAACTTTCTCCGGCTTGAACACGACCAATGGCGATATTTCGGTCGGCAGCACTCAATCGTGGCATTTTAACACAGCTTTTCGGCGACAAATGAATGAATATAATACGAAAGCACATGGGCTTTTATACACCCCTACATTAACTGCCATTTTCATGATTTGCATGTGTTTTTGTGCGAAGTCACCATGAGGGTCATTTCATGCGTTGTGACGGAATAAGCAATAAAATACACTTATGCGTACAAATGCAGTTGTTTGGATGGTAATCTTCATTAATTACGTGTATAATTTCAATACATTCGAATAAAATTTAGTTTGGAAGCAATAACTTCATTCAAACGAATTTTTTTCATATCTGAGGACAGGGGTTGCGTTTCTTTTTTGACAGAGTTTTACGTTGGGTATCACTTTTGAAAATATTCTTTGTGATGACAGTTTTATTTATATATCCATGAGCTCTTAGGTGTATTTTGCAGCTAATCACCACCCATTACTTTGCCTGAATGTACACCGTGAGTCCTTGAAAAGGAACACATTTCAGATGGAAACCACGTTGATCCATCTGTGGTATGAAACCCTGCTGACCATGTTAAGCAAAGACTCAGCATCATCGCTTCAGGATTCGCTATATATCATTAATGTATCATTGGGTTATGGATGTGCACTAGACATGTTCTAGAGGTACCAACGTCTTAGTGTTCTAGAGGTACTCACGTCTTGGTGTTCTAGAGGTACTCACGTCTTGGTGTTCTAGAGGTAATCACATCTTGGTGTTCTAGAGGTACTCACGTCTTGGTGTTCTAGGGGTACTCACATATTAGTGTTCTAGAAGTACTAACGTCTTAGTGTTCTAGAGGTACTCACGTCTTAGTGTTCTAGAAGTACTCACGTCTTGGTGTTCTAGAGGTACTCACGTCTATGTGTTTTAGAGGTACTCACGTCTTGGTGTTCTAGGGCAATACTCACGTATTAGTGTTCTAGAGGTACTCACGTCTATGTGTTCTAGAGGTACTCACGTATTAGTGTTCTAGAAGTACTCTCACGTCTTAGTGTTCTAGAAGTACTCACGTCTTAGTGTTCTAGAGGTACTAACGTCTTAGTGTTCTAGAGGTACTCACGTCTTAGTGTTCTAGAAGTACTCACGTCTTGGTGTTCTAGAGGTACTCACGTCTATGTGTTCTAAGAGGTACTCACGTCTTGGTGTTCTAGAGGTACTCACGTCTTAGTGTTCTAGAGGTACTCACGTCTTAGTGTTCTAGAGGTACTCACGTATTAGTGTTCTAGAAGTACTCACGTCTTAGTGTTCTAGAAGTACTCACGTCTTAGTGTTCTAGAGGTACTAACGTCTTAGTGTTCTAGAGGTACTCACGTCTTAGTGTTCTAGAAGTACTCACGTCTTGGTGTTCTAGAGGTACTCACGTCTATGTGTTTTAGAGGTACTCACGTCTTGGTGTTCTAGGGGTACTCACATATTAGTGTTCTAGAAGTACTAACGTCTTAGTGTTCTAGAGGTACTCACGTCTTAGTGTTCTAGAAGTATTCACGTCTTGGAGTTCTAGAGGTACTCACGTCTATGTGTTTAAGAGGTACTCACGTCTTGGTGTTCTAGGAGGTACTCACATGTCTTAGTGTTCTAGAGGTACTCACGTCTATGTGTTCTAGAGGTACTCACGTCTTAGTGTTCTAGAGGTACTCACGTCTATGTGTTTTAGAAGTACTCACGTCTTGGTGTTCTAGAGGTACTCACGTCTTAGTGTTCTAGAGGTACTCACGTCTTGGTGTTCTAGAGGTACTCACGTCTTAGTGTTCTAGAGGTACTCACGTCTATGTGTTCTAGAGGTACTCACGTCTTAGTGTTCTAGGAGGTACTCACGTCCATGTGTGTTCTACGTCTTGAGTGTACTAGAGGTACTCACGTCTTAGTGTTCTAGAGGTACTCACGTCTTAGTGTTCTAGAGGTACTCACGTCTTAGTGTTCTAGAGGTACTCACGTCTTAGTGTTCTAGAGGTACTCACGTATTAGTGTTCTAGAGGTACTCACGTCTTAGTGTTCTAGAGGTACTTACGTCTTAGTGTTCTAGAGGTACCTCACGTCTTAGTGTTCTAGAGGTACACGTCTTAGTGTTCTAGGGGTACTCACGTCTTAGTGTTCTAAGGTACTCACGTATTAGTGTTCTAGAAGTACTCACGTCTTAGTGTTCTAGAAGTACTCACGTCTTAGTGTTCTAGAGGTACTCACGTCTTCGTGTTCTAGAGGTACTCACGTCTTAGTGTTCTAGAGGTACTCACGTCTTAGTGTTCTAGAGGTACACCACGACTTAGTTTTCTAGAGGTACTTACGTCTTAGTGTTCTAGAGGTACTCACGTCTTATTGTTCTAGAGGTACCTCACGTCTTAGTGTTCTAGGGGTACTCACGTCTTAGTGTTCTAGAGGTACTCACGTATTAGTGTTCTAGAAGTTCTCACGTCTTAGTGTTCTAGAGGTACTCACGTCTTAGTGTTCTAGAAGTACTCACGTCTTGGTGTTCTAGAGGTACTCACGTCTATGTGTTCTAGAGGTACTCACGTCTATGTGTTCTAGAGGTAATTTCTGTCGTCTTAGTGTTCTAGAGGTACTCATGTCTTAGTGTTCTAGAGGTACTTACGTCTTAGTGTTCTAGAGGTACTCCACGTCTTAGTGTTCTAGAGGTACTCACGTCTTAGTGTTCTAGGGGTACTCACGTCTTAGTGTTCTGAGGAGGTACTCCACGTATTAGTGTTCTAGAAGTACTCACGTCTTAGTGTTCTAGAAGTACTCACGTCTTAGTGTTCTAGAGGTACTCACGTCTTCGTGTTCTAGAGGTACTCACGTCTTAGTGTTCTAGAGGTACTCACGTCTTAGTGTTCTAGAGGTACTCACGACTTAGTTTTCTAGAGGTACTTACGTCTTAGTGTTCTAGAGGTACTCACGTCTTATTGTTCTAGAGGTACTCACGTCTTAGTGTTCTAGGGGTACTCACGTCTTAGTGTTCTAGAGGTACTCACGTATTAGTGTTCTAGAAGTTCTCACGTCTTAGTGTTCTAGAGGTACTCACGTCTTAGTTTCTGTATTGTAGTTAGATGTGGTTCCTCGTCCTCCTTGACTGGGGCGGCTTTGCCAATGTTCTGAGTTCCTCCAATGTTCAGATTCCCGGCTTTAGGTACGGTCACCTGCTGCTCCACCTTGATGAAGTTGTACTGGACCGCTGCAGAAGTGGGTGAGTGAGTGAGTTGATTGTTTTAAAGGTGGGTGATTTGAAATAGCTGAGAATTGTTTGAGTTGATAATTGTTTGGATAGGTGTTTGAGTGAGTTGATGGGAGGGTGATGATAGTAAAATAATACTTTAGAAAGCTGCTCTCAGACTGGCTAATGTCGCTGTCTTGTCAATTTCCGTAAAGTTTTGGCCCCCAAAAGCGTTCTAACGCGACCGGTGATGTAATGACTTCAGAGCTTTGTGATAATAAGCAATGTAATGGCTTGGGTTAAGGCCACTGATAGCGTGTCAACATACCTGGACGTGGTTGATTAGCTTTGGCTGTCACTAGCCCTGAGCCTGGTGCAGGTGTGAGTTGGCCTTGAGTTGATGGTAGTCCCGACACTGGTGCAGGTGTGAGTTGGCCTTGAGTTGATGGTAGTCCCGACACTGGTGCAGGTGTGAGTTGGCCTTGAGTTGATGGTAGCTCCGACACTTGTGCAGGTGTGAGTTGGCCTTGAGTTGATGGTAACCCCGAGCCTGGTGCAGGTGTGAGTTGGCCTTGAGTTGATGGTAGCTCCGACACTTGTGCAGGTGTGAGTTGGCCTTGAGTTGATGGTAACCCCGAGCCTGGTGCAGGTGTGAGTTGGCTTTGAGTTGATGGTAGCCCTGAGCCTGGTGCAGGTGTGAGTTTGCCTTGAGTTGATGGTAGCCCTGAGCCTGGTGCAGGTATCAGTTGGCCTAGAGTTGATGGTAGCCCCGACACTGGTGCAGGTGTGAGTTGGCCTTGAGTTGATGGTAGCCCCGACACTGGTGCAGGTGTAAGTTGGCCTTGAGTTGATGGTAGCCCCGACACTGGTGCAGGTGTAGAGTTGGCCTTGAGTTGATGGTAGCCCCGACACTGGTGCAGGTGTAAGTTGGCCTTGAGTTGATGGTAGCCCCGAGCCTGGTGCAGGTGTAAGTTGGCCTTGAGTTGATGGTAGCCCCGACACTGGTGCAGGTGTAAGTTGGCCTTGAGTTGATGGTAGCTCCGACACTGGTGCAGGTGTGAGTTGGCCTTGAGTTGATGGTTGCCCCGAGCCTGGTGCAGGTGTGAGTTGGCCTTGAGTTGATGGTAGCCCCGAGCCTGGTGCAGGTGTAAGTTGGCCTTGAGTTGATGGTAGCCCCGAGCCTGGTGCAGGTGTAAGTTGGCCTTGAGTTGATAGTAGCCCCGAGCCTGGTGCAGGTGTAAGTTGGCCTTGAGTTGATGGTAGCTCCGACACTGGTGCAGGTGTAAGTTGGCCTTGAGTTGATGGTAGCCCCGAGCCTGGTGCAGGTGTGAGTTGGCCTTGAGTTGATGGTAGCCCCGACACTGGTGCAGGTGTAAGTTGGCTGAGCCTTGAGTTGATGGTAGTCCCGAGCCTGGTGCAGGTGTAAGTTGGCCTTGAGTTGATGGTGGCCCCGAGCCTGGTGCAGGTGTAAGTTGGCCTTAAGTTGATGGTAACAAATAGCCATGAAACAATGCAATTAACAAACATAACACAACAACGTATACAATCAGACAAAAAGAGACGACGTTAGTCCACTGAAACATTTCAGTGACTAAAGAATAGTAATAACAGCCAATGGAATATAACAGTCAACAATCACCTAGAAATATAACAGTCAACAATCGTTTGGAAATATAACAGTCAACAATCACCTAGAAATATAATAGTCAACAGTCGTCTGGAAATATAACAGTCAACAATCGTCTGGAAATATAACAGTCAACAATCGTCTGGAAATATAACAGTCAACAGTCGTCTGGAAATATAACAGTCAACAATCGTCTGGAAATATAAAAGTGAACAATCGTCTGGAAATATAACAGTCAACAATCGCCTGGAAATATAACAGTCAACAATCGCCTAGAAATATAACAGTCAACAATCGTATGGAAATATAACAGTTAACAATCGTCTGGAAATATAACAGTCAACAATCACCTAGAAATATAACAGTCAACAATCGTCTGAAATATAACAGTGAACAGTCGTCTGGAAATATAACAGTTAACAATCGCTTTGACATATAACAGTCAACAGTTGTCTGGAAATATAACAGTCAACAATCGTCTGGAAATATAACAGTCAACAGTCGTCTGGAAATATAACAGTCAACAATCGTCTGGAAATATAACAGTCAGCAATCGTCTGGAAATATAACAGTCAACAATCGTCTGGAAATATAACAGTCAACAATCGTCTGGAAATATAACAGTTAACAATCGTCTGGAAATATAACAGTCAACAATCGTCTGGAAATATAACAGTCAACAATCGTCTGGAAATATAACAGTCAACAATCACCTTGAAATATATCAGTCAACAGTCATCTAGAAATATAAGAGTCAACAATCATCTAGAAATATAACAGTCAACAATTGTCTGGAAATATAACAGTCAACAATCACCTTGAAATATAACAGTCAACAGTCATCTAGAAATATAACAGTCAACAGTCATCTAGAAATATAACAGTCAGCAATCGTCTGGAACTATAACAGTCAACAATTGTCTGGAAATATAACAGTCAACAGTCATCTAGAAATATAACAGTCAACAATCGTCTGGAACTATAACAGACAACAATCGTCTGAAATGTAACTGTCAACAATCATCTAGAAATATAACAGTTAACAATCGTCTGAAATATAACAGTCAGCGATCGTCTGGAAATATAACAGTCAATGATCATCTAGAAATATAACAGCCGTCAACAGTCATCTAGAAATATAACAGTCAACAATCGTCTAGAAATATAACAGTCAACAATTCTATTCACCTTCATATTCTACTTGATAGGAATGTTGAGTGATAGTTTGACAAGTAATGTTGCCGAAAATAGTTCCGAGATCGGTTAAATCAGCATTGCTGTCCCCTTCTCCGTCATCTTCCTCCTCCTCCTCCTCCTCTTCCTCGCTATAGTAAAGATCCTCGTCCTCGACACTCCCTTCTTCTCTAAAATCGCATTCATCGTCTTCCTCATCAGCCGTCACATAGTCATCATCATCATCAACGTCTGTGTCCGACATTTCTCACCGACACCGCGGGTCACCCGTTGACCCTGTTGACTAAGACGCCTCACTTTAGGTACACATACCAATCGCCAATCTGCAAGGGTCTAGCTCGTCGTAGGTTCGAATCTCAGATACTTATCTGTGGTTTGCCTGCTCCATACCCGCCCAGGTAGGTTCAAAGGGATAAGCCAGTAATCAACCACAGGTGACAGGAGGTGACCTTTCAAAGCAGTGGCAGGTAATATTAATTCCTCGGGGTGACCTTGAACTACGTTCTAGCTGAAATAAATATACTGCCAGTAATCATGACTGAGTTTAGTTTTACGCCGCACTCAGCAATATTCCAGCTAATCATGACAATTCTCCTTGGGTGCCGTTTGATGTGAAGCGACACTCCCACCAATTCTCATTCTACCATCTCACAGGCTCGTTTACAATCAGAATTTAATGACTTGTTTTCAACCAACTTTTCAGTGAAAGATTCGTTGTAACATACGACAGCTTACAATATGTTGAAGTGCATAGCACACAGCAATATGTAGCATACGGCATTATTGAATACAAGTACATACATCACATATCAATATTTACCCAGAACATTATTGAATGCAACAATTAATATTATTTAGATTACCAGCAAAAAACATACATCAGTGTAGAACATTCAGCAATATATAACATACATCAGTGTAGAACATTCAGCAATGTATAACATACGTCAGTGTAGAACATTCAGCAATGTATAACATACATCAGTGTAGAACATTCAGCAATGTATAATTATCTCAACATAAAACAATTAAAAACATTTCATCTGATCATGTTACAGAATGTTTAAAGAATAGAATGTATTGTAATAACTTACTTATAGGTCCGCCATTATGGTGGAGCAGGCCAGTTGTCTGCATCAAGCCGCTGCCTCCTATCAGCCTGTAACGGCGTCCACCGCTCTGTGAAAGTATCCGGTGTATTGTCCCTACATCCGACTCTCAGCTCTGCATCCTTAGGCTGCGAGGTCTAAATATATTCATTGTTCAATGGTTGTTCCTTCCTCAACATCACATCCGACAAAATCTCCTACCCGTGAAGATCCGGGTTACAACTGATCTTCAGTAACCCATGCTTGTCGTACGAGGCGAATAACGGGATCGGGTGGTCTTGGTCCCGATTTTCAAAGCGATCGTACTGCGCTACGACAGTCGTAAGTCTAAGTTTTCTGTTCTTATGCTTCTTTCGAATTTTCACAAACTTTTTCACGTGATTAATGTCAGTATATTATCTCTTGATTTGGGACTAGACAGGAGACCAGTTTAAAATCAAGTGGCACCAATTACGTCATAATCAAGGGCGGTAACTCTGGCCTGTTTAGCTCGGCAAACAAAGGCCTAATATTGGCATAACATTTCAGCACTTATTTTGAGGGTTATACTTACATTGTAAGAAAAATGAGTGTGTAAAGATTGGTATTAACTATTTAAAACAGTTCACTTCGATTCACATAAGAATAAATGTGATTTATTCGTGTACACTTCCTCATTAAGGTATTGGTGTTTGAGGAACGGGGCCCAGACTCGCTGACTTGGTTGACACATGTAATCGTATTCCGATTGTGTAGATCGATACTCATGCTATTGATCACTGGATTGTGTATTCCAGACTTGCCAGACAATAGAATAGTTTACACTAACAGGGTTTTCTTCTGTAAGTTGTCATTGTAGTGTACGTTTGAAATAATACACGATTATAGAACAATGGAGAGACGTCACGATATAAATGGTTGTGTGAAGTGATTAAGTTTTCATGGTTAAAGCGTCTGCCAGTCATGCCGAAGGCCCCAGTTTGTTTCCCCACATAGGTACGATGAGTGAAGCCCATATCTGGTTCCCCAGATATGATATCGCGGGAATATTGCTAAAAAGCGGCATAAAACCATACTCACTCACTCACACACTCACCTTGCTTTAGAATATTACTTTCTTTAAAATATATTTTTTCCAGAAGATGATGCATCTTAAATATCAAACTGCCTCCAAAGCACCAGATCACCACTTGGTGCAAAAACAGAATTCATGGAGAATTTTAAAAACGTTTATGAGAAATAGTGCCCACGAGGCGGTCTTGAAATGAACAAGGAGATAACTCTGATCGCCTTTATGTCCCCGATGACTATCTTCGGCGCTGATGCTCTGTTAGTCATGGTACAAAATAGAGTGTAATATATAGCCAATGGCTCCAGATTACGGCACTTCTGTGACAGAAATATTATTGTTTGCAGTTTAGTCGAACTGGAAGGTAATTTTTTCGATCAGAAAAATACATGCTGACAACTAACTTATGTCGCCTTTATTAATATCACTGAAGCCTAAATAAAATAATGATAGAATAGTGTGTCATGTTGTTTCACAATATATACAGCAGTCAGATAGTCATATGTATACAACAACAGGCTCCACAAGGCCTGAAAGACATCAAATTTAAAACAATATTTAAATATATACTCATGCCAATAATGGTTGTCTCAACACACACACACACACACACACACACTTCTCTCTCTCTCTCCAATAAAACAAAATTGAAGGGGTGACAACCATTATTGGCATGAGTATATAAATTCAAAAAGAAAAAGAGCCATATCAGACACACCAACTCCTCGGACAGACGCACCGATTCTCTCGAACAGACACACCATCTCAGTCGGTCAGACACTCAACCCCACGGACAGACGCACCGATTCTCTGTAACAGACACACCGTCTCAGTCGGTCAGACACTCAAACTCATTCGACCGACACACCAACTCCCTCGGACAATCATACACTCATTCAGACAGACACAAAGACTGATTTGGCATTCGGACCGACACGCCAACTCCCTCCCTTCTAAGAGACTGCGCAGCAGAGAATTGAACACAGGCTCCCTATGCCTCTAAAAGAAGATAGCAGTTTTGAATATACTGAAGTCAATGTTTCACAGGGAATTGAAATATATTGCATTTAAGTCAATGTTTTAACAGGCTTTGACTAACGTTTACTCTCTGAATATATATAATCCTGATGGCAAAAAACAGGCCCATTTAAACCGGAAAGGAGCCCCAGGGAGACAAGAGATTCCGAACCTGGGGAAATCTAGACTTGCTCTATTTAGGGCTTTAGCACTGCAGGGAGGGCTTGGCTGTTGGGAAAATAATGTGGTTCAGGGACTGTGAGACAGACTATAACAGGCTATGCGGAGGGGCAAGCACAGGGCGGGTACAGCGTTTTGAGAAAGGGTTGGGGTGCACACTTCATTTTCACGAGAGTTTCAATGGGAATTTAAGAAACTTTCAGGACAAAAAAGGGGGTGGGGTGGGGAAACAGCCCAGCACACCCCCACCCCCTCTGGATCAGCCTTTGAAATGGATGACACCCTCGTCCAATGCTTGTGAAGTATGAAAGCTGTTAGCTCTGTACCATACAAATTCTCCCAATTAGAAGGTTTGAGGGACTGACTGCGTTTAGTTTTACGCCGCTTTTAGCACTATTCCAGCAATATCACGGCGGGGACTACAGAAATGGGCTTCACACATTGTACCCATGTGGGGAATCGAACCGGGATCTTCGGCGTGACGAGTGAACGCTTTAACCACTAGGCTACCCCACCGCTCCGTAATAGTTTTAATTGATGTGTTTTGAGTTTCTTTCTTTTTGTTTGTTTGTTTGATCGATCTTTTTGCCAAACGCCCTGCCTGAAATATCAGTGGATCACTGTAGTTGATCAAGTGTTATCGTGGACGTTACCACAGCCGTGGCTGTTGCTACACAATGTGATACAATGTGACACAGGTCGAGGTTGTCATACATGGGAACTCAGTCACTCCACACTATCATTTATATCGCATTATAAATAAATATTGTGACATCAATCTATTGTTCTATGATCGTCTATAATTTCCAACGTACATCACGATGACAGCCAAACAGCTAGATGCGATCCGCTATCAAACATTTTAGCGAGAACTATTCCATTGTCTTCAGGTATCTCCGAGTGATTCGCCATCATGGACAAGTCACCCACATTTCCATCCGCACGTGCAACGTCCTGAATAGCTTCGACAGAGGTTGTCATGTTTGCGCGTTCGTTCCTTTCCGTGTTCTGTGAGTGAGTATGATTTTACACCGCTTTTTGCAAGATTCCAGCAATATCACGGCGGAGGACATCGGAAATGGACTTCGCACAATGTACCCACGTGGGGAATCGAACCCGGATCTTCGGCGTGACGAGAGAACGCTTTAACCACTTGGCTACCCCACCGCCCCCGTCAGTGTTGAATTCATCATATTGAAGAAATACCTTCGTAAAAATACTATTCATGTCGTTTTTTCTTCATGCAACAAACCCGTGAAAGTCCGGGTTAGAATATTGGCCTTTAGTAACCCATGCTTGTCGTAAGAGGCGACTAACGGGATCGGGTGGTCAGGCTCGCTGACTTGGTTGACACATCGGTTCCCAATTGCGCAGATCGATGCTCATGCTGTTGATCACTGGATTGTCTGGTCCAGACTCGATTATTTACAGGCCGCCGCTATATAGCGGGAATATTGCTGAGTGCGGCGTAAAAGTAAACTCACTCACTCACTCATGCTACAAGTAATATCTTTCATAAAGCGTAATAAAGCAGAACAAATATTCTCACATTGGCAACAGGTGTGTAATTTGATACATGTTA